ACAAACAAATGAACTTAAACATAAAAACACGCACGCGAGCAACAACAACAACCCCCACCCACCACTACCACCCACCACCACCACCCACCACCACCAGCAGCAGCTTGGTCCTGAAGTGCACCGCGTGAGGTCGTAGACGCCGGACGCCGCCACTTTGATGTCACGTCGACAAACGGTGCAGAGGGCGAACTGCTCGCCCATGCGCGATGCGACGACGCAGTCGAACCGAGTTGTCCACTGGGGCAAGAATTTAGAATGGTAAGTCTTGTGTCGCTTTGGTGGAGGCTCCATGGTTGTTGTTGTTGTTGGTGGGTTTTTTTTGGGTGGTTAAGCTGTTGAATGCATGGTGGGTGGGTTGGGGGGGTGAAGGAGGTGGGTGTTATGAGACATGCGTGCATTTATAGCAACAGAGTTAGTGAACGAGGACAACGAACGATAAAATACAGACAATTCGAGTACTAAATGTCATGCGTTAGGATTGTGACCGTGCGTGCTGTCACGTCAACGGTGTGAGTCCGTGTAGAGACCCCCCCACCATCACCACCCACATCAATGTTAAATACCGCGGGGGTCAGGGACCGTGGAGATTTGACCACGAGGGTACGGTCACTGTCATCGGGCCAACGCGATATTAGCGATGCTGCTAAATAACGTCACCCATATTTATAATCGTTTTGCGTAATGTAACAAGATGATTGCGATTGTCGTAACTTGTTCAAAGTGCAGTATATTAGCAACACCGCACGTCCTTTTGGACGTGACTGTCCGTGCATCCTCCAGCCAGCCAGCGAGCAAAACTTTTTTTTATCAAACTGTTTACTGTGGTTTTCGGTATTTGATTGCGTATCTTACAGCCAGGCAGCTAGGAATCCAGCCAATAAATTTTTTTGTTTTCTAATACAGTATTTTTTTCTGACAAAAAAATATTTGCTTTAAACAACTGCACAAAAGTTATCCTTATGAACAAATATTTCCCTTTACATGAGTTATTTGCAAATTGTTATCCGGAGTAATTCACATCATGGTGATTATATTACCTCGTTATTTTCGTAGTTGTGAGCATTATAGGGTGTAAAGTTGCAATGATTTATGGAAAGTTAATGTTCAGAGAACAGCAGCTCAGGCACTTTTAAGTAATATTTATTTATACTGGAAGTACAGCACATTAAAATAAACTATACAATTGTGAAAATGCGACAACCGTTATCACAATATCCGTCACATCCTGAAAATTAACATCCTATCGCATTGTGAATATTATATAGAGGAAATGATATTTAGATTAATGCTTTTACTAAACGAAATCGAACCTCTCAAATAAACACAGACACTGTCTTGGTAAGTGCACAATACGTAACACGGGAATATATGAACCCAAAGGCGGGACCCCGAAAACCCATAAAGCCCCCAGCTCTCGCATAAACATTATATCATGATGTAAACAAAAACGTTGCTTTTTCACCAATGGGTTTGAAGGATGGTGGCAAGTGTTGCCTTGTTAAACTAATGCCTTTAAAACTGAAAACTACTTACCTGCAGTACCTCTATTTAAATACATGAGCGAAAAAATAATTTACACCCCTCTGTAAATCATCGTGTTTCTCAGTGTGGATTTGTGAACACACTTTGTTAACGGTACATGATATAGTACGCGTTTTCAATGCGCTGTTCATATTGTAACAAGCGTTTGTACCAATGTTACTCTACAGAGAGTAACGGGTCTCCGCTCCTCTTATCCGCATTGATACGAGCGGTATGTGGGGACTATGGCTTAACCGTAAAAAATAAAAACCTATCTGCACAGATGCATACGGACAAGAGGAGTAACATCAACCGGGAGGAATTCACGGTGCAACGTATCTCATCTGTTAAATATCTGCAGGTAATATGACTGTCATCGATTGATCCTGGCTGCAGACATTGGTAGGTCACAAATAATAATGAAGATAAGAAAGCAGTTCCACTGTATCATGCAAACCGTGATGACAAATAAAAGACTTAAGTCGTGTAGGCAGTTTGAGCAGCTTTGGATCAGACTTATGATCCTGCCCATACCCGAGCATGGAGTGCATTCACTTGTTCAGCTCTTCTGCGCATTCATCCTCGCTGCTGCTGCTGCTTGGACGGCACACGACATGACAACAGAACGATCCGCGGCCAGGTGGGTCGCGACGTTTATGTTGGGCGGTGGGACGGAGTCGCCAAAAATAAATTGATTCATTACGATTTTGACTTCAGGGTTATTCGGAACCCCGGGGTCCCGCCATAAGGTTCATAGAGTGAATTCGAATATCTGGGTTGTGTATTAACCGTACTGGAAAAATATATATATTAGAACACACATAACCATGCCGCTCGTATTATTAGCAGCTCCTCATTGGTCGTGGGTCTGTGATTCGGTGGCCACCTATCTACAAAATATTAAACCGATTACTTAAAATAAACAATTCAATTCAGACGACACATTCCGCCTTCAATCTATTTTACATCGGCGTTGAATTATCCATGGTTATTATTTCATCAAGGCCACCTCCCTCCGCCGTTAACCTGGATAGGCTACAAAATGGGAAGATATTTTTGTAAAGCCAAAGCACACATATATACAGTCCATGCAAGGAATGCAAATGTTTGTGCAAATGTGTTTTTTTAAGGTTATTTATAGGCCAGCGGTTCTTAACCTGGGGTGTAGGCACCCCCTGGGATGCGAGATGGCCTTTCTGGGGGTACAAGACATGGGCAGATATTTTTAGAAGGTGAAACATCATCGAAGACATAAATTAAGCATGGACACGTGAGTACAACTACTTTGTTTAATCAAACCTAGGTATTTATTTACATTGTAATTGTTTTACCATTGAGAAGCGAAGGGGTGCAGGCTGGAGTAAAGGTTCAGAACCACTGCTTGATGCATTTAACTATAAGCACGGTTGGCTTCGTACGGTGCGACACAAATTAAACATACACACACACGGATTAACCGGTTCTGATTTACGATTTATGCAAATGTAATGCTGTTACCTGAAAAGAGGGTGAAGCATCTCCACAGAATTCGCATCTCACGCAAAGCAGTTGCAACGATTGATGTTCTAGAACAGATTACGGATGTGGGCATGGCTTTATCCCTGGGCTGGGATGTGTTCCTTCTCAGAGCTGGAGTTTGAGTCACATTACGTGCAGAATCAAACGTAATGTGATGGTGTGTGTACGTATGTTGAACTGCTTTCGCACCGTACGTAGCCAACCGTGCTAATCAGAGGTGCTGGGGTGTGTGTGCAGTCTAAACTTATATATATATTTTTATTTGATCAAGCAAGGCCCATTAAGCTATATACAGTGAGGGAAAAAAGTATTTGATCCCCTGCTGATTTTGTACGTTTGCCCACTGACAAAGAAATGATCAGTCTATAATTTTAATGGTAGGTTTATTTGAACATTGAGAGAATAACAAAAAAATCCAGAAAAACGCATGTCAAAAATGTTATAAATTGTTTTGCATTTTAGTGAGGGAATTAAGTATTTGACCCCCTCTCAATCAGAAAGATTTCTGGCTCCCAGGTGTCTTTTATACAGGTAACGAGCTGAGATTAGGAGCACACTCTTAAAGGGAGTGCTCCTAATCTCAGCTTGTTACCTGTATAAAAGACACTTGTCAACAGAAGCAATCAATCAATCAGATTCCAAACTCTCCACCATAGCCAAGACCAAAGAGCTCTCCAAGGATGTCAGGGACAAGATTGTAGACCTACACAAGGCTGAAATGGGCTACAAGACCATTGCCAAGCAGCTTGGTGAGAAGGTGACAACAGTTGGTGTGATTATTCGTAAATGGAAGAAACACAAAAGAACTGTCAATCTCCCTCGGCCTGGGGCTCCATGCAAGATCTCACCTCGTGGAGTTGCAATGATCATGAGAACGGTGAGGAATCAGCCCAGAACTACACGGGAGGATCTTGTCAATGATCTCAAGGCAGCTGGGACCATAGTCACCAAGAAAACAATTGGTAACACACTACGCCGTGAAGAACTGAAATCCTGCAGCGCCCGCAAGGTCCCCCTGCTCAAGAAAGCACATATACATGCCCGTCTGAAGTTTGCCAATGAACATCTGAATAATTCAGAGGGCAACTGGGTGAAAGTGTTGTGGTCAGATGAGACCAAAAGGGAGCTCTTTGCCATGAACTCAACTCGCCGTGTTTGGAGGAGGAATGCTGCCTATGACCCCAAGAACACCATCCCCACTGTCAAACATGGAGGTGGAAACATTATGCTTTGGGGGTGTTTTTCTGCTAAGGGGACAGGACAACTTCACCGCATCAAAGGGACGATGGACGGGGCCAAGTACCGTAAAATCTTGGGTGAGAACCTCCTTCCCTCAGCCAGGGCATTGAAAATGGGTCGTGGATGGGTATTCCAGCATGACAATGACCCAAAACACACGGCCAAGGCAACAAAGGAGTGGCTCAAGAAGAAGCACATTAAGGTCCTGGAGTGGCCTAGCCAGTCTCCAGACCTTAATCTCATAGAAAATCTGTGGAGGGAGCTGAAGGTTCGAGTTGCCAAATGTCTGCCTCGAAACCTTAATGACTTGGAGAAGATCTGCAAAGAGGAGTGGGACAAAATCCCTCCTGAGATGTGTGCAAACTTGGTGGCCAACTACAAGAAACGTCTGACCTCTGTGATTGCCAACAAGGGTTTTGCCACCAAGTACTAAGTCATGTTTTGCAGAGGGGTCAAATACTCATATTCATAACATTTTTGACATGCGTTTTTCTGGATTTTGTTGTTGTTATTCTGTCTCTCACTGTTCAAATAAACCTACCATTAAAATTATAGACTGATCATTTCTTTGTCAGTGGGCAAACGTACAAAATCAGCAGGGGATCAAATACTTTTTTCCCTCACTGTAGCTCTTTTTTCAGAAACGGCCTTGCTACAAATGATAGCTCAACTAAGTGGCTTATCACGTGGGTATTTATAGCAGACAAATACTTTAAATGCACGTTTCTAAATTTGGAGGGAAAAACCGGAGGACCCGGACTAAAATCCACAGGCGTCAGGTTCGGGATCGAAACCCACGATCTCCTGTACAACATGCAAGGTAGTTAACATCTCGCCAACGTGGCACCCGGCCATTAGTCACTCAGTTGAGACCATGAAATCGATACACTTGAGAATCCAGAAACTCAGCGAGGCCAGCTTGGCCCTCTGACTTCTGGGCCACCGCTTGGTTACAAACTAAATTTCCCCCAAATGCTGTCAACATGTCAGTATGCTAAGCAATTTTAATTTTCAGTCACAGCACAGAAAGTGTTAAGTTTACAGCAAAATAATTTTCGTACAATTATAATACGGTAGTTCCATTGCAGTGAACACTTAACATTACTATGGTATGGAAAAAGCAATGTCGTACATCTTTCTCTGAAAAGGCTAGTACATTGGGTGGTGTATGCGCTGGTGACTGTTAAGATTAGCAACCTGCGAAAAGGCTTTGTCACACATCTTGCATCGAAAAGGTTTTTCTCCTGTGTGTGTGCGGTAGTGATTGTTCAGATTTGTCACTTGTGTGAAGGCTTTTCCGCATATCTGGCACCGGTAGGGCTTTTCCCCCGTGTGCGTGCGATAGTGATTGTTAAGATTGGTGACCTGCGAAAAGGCTTTGTCACACATCTTGCAGTGATAGGGTTTCTCCCCAGTGTGAATGCGCCAGTGATTATTGAGCTGGGTTACTTGTGAGAAGGCTTTTCCACACTCTTTGCAAATAAAAGGCTTATCTCTCATGTGTATGTGCTGATGATTGTTCAGATGCTTGGCATGCGAGAATACTTTGTTACACACCTTGCAGCAATGGGGCGTTTCTTGCCTGTGTATGCACTGATGGCTGTTACGTTTGGTGACTTTTGAGAACGCTTCACCGCACTTTTCACAGCGGCGGCAATTCTCCCCTCTGTGTATTCGCTGCTCGTTCTTAAGTTGAGTGAAAAGCGAGGCTTTTGACTCCTTCAAAGTCCCAAATGATTTCTCACTGCTCTGTGTAACCTGGTGACATCCCAGCTGGTTTGTGCGCAAGTCGGCTTTGCCGTAGCCCTTGCAAAGATGCCACGTCCCGCCCTTGTCTCTTTTCCAATAGTAACTCAGACTCCCGTAGCTCCTGAACATGCGCTCATGAAAGTCACAGCCATACAGGTTCCCTCTCGTGTGCATACGTCGATGGCGCTTGAAGGCACCGTTTTGTAAAAAGCCTCGTCCGCACCTTTCGCAGTGATAAGCTCTCTCGCCCAGCGCTTTATGCTTCTTAAAGGCATCCCCGGTGAGCTTCACGCTGTACGGTTTGGAGCCGCGCAGTCCAATCTCTTTGAGCGCCAAGTTACATCTTCTCCTTTGCCGCTCCGCATTCTGGCGCACGGCACCCATCCAAATCGATCTTCCCACTGTGCATGCTGCAGACATGCGACGAGTGCTGGAACCGACATCTGCTTTTTCAAGTTTCACCGCGTCAGATGCTCCACGCTGCAGCAACTTTGACGTGCCAGCTTTGGGGGCATGTGAGGTCTCTCCTGCCTCAGGGGCCATTGAGGTCACGAATTCAATGACGAGATCCACATTTTTCTCCAAGTCTTCTCCATCTAAAGTAGAACATGACCAAACAAAAGACTGTGAAGACACATGCACGTACAGTCTGTTTAATTTCTTTCGCACCATACACAGCCAACCGTGCTAAACGGAGGTGCGGGTGAACGACAAGAAGCTAAACAAAAAAGAGCAGTTCTAAAGAAATTAGTTTTCAATCTAGATTAAAAAGTGCATAGCTCCAGTGGCTTCCTAATCATCATTATTCAGCTGCCTTACTGATGAATATACAGTGTCTTAATATTCATTACTTCCTATTAATAATATTAAATTACAGCCCTTTATCAATCCACTGCTGGATGAAGGCCTCTCCAAACTGTGGTAGTCATTGGGGTTGTATAATCATACTTCCTTGCTCTGATAAGTGCGAGTTGGTGAAGGGGGGACAGTACCAGCTCAGACATCACCTGCCACTGAGTGGTATTCGGAAATCAAAACTCAGGTCACCAAGTTTATACAGCAGTCCGCTCATCCTTATGCAAATATATTATATATGTGTATGTATATGGGTATGCATTTGGGAGCGGTGGTGCAGTGGTTAGCGCGCTGCGCTACGAACCCAGTGACACGAGTTTGATTCCCGCTCATGGCCAACACCAGTGACGGTTATCTGAACCGGTCTTGGGCCTCCCCTAGGTCGACTCAGCCTCAAATGAGTACCTCGTGCGGTGTGTAAATTTCGCCACTATGGAGACAAAGGCAGCCGGGCATGGTGCTTGCAGAACAAAGTCTGCAAGTTTTTACAGGCATATTCTAGTTGAGGAATAATATCTGTAAATGGTAATTAAAAAAACGAAACTATTTATTTTTACCTGGTAAGGCCCACTGAGCTATACAGCTCTTTTTGAGAAGTGACCTGGCCACAAATGATAGCTTAACGAAGTGTCTTATCTTGTGGAAATGTATTGGAGCCAAATACTCTCAATGTGGAGGGTAAACACCGGAGGGTAAACACCAGAGGACCCGGAGAAAAATCCATGCGACCACAGGGAGAAAATTCAAACTCCAAATATGCAGGGGTCATCGTCGAGATCGAACCCACGACCTCCTGTATACCAGGTGCGGTAGTTAACTTCTCGCCACCGCGGCACCCCAATGATCACTTATCACTATAAAGTAGCTGGAAACAGAAGCGTGTGTTTAATGTGTTGCTGAGACGTATACACTCACCATCGCAAACCTCGGTTTTAATCCTATAACCTGTCAGGAAAGGGATGAAGCCGGTCTTGGACGAAGAAGCATCTGGGGGAAACCACAAACACCACGCAAGTACTTAGCAATCACGTCATGTGTTACGTACGTCTTAAGTTTACTGCACGTGTTAACTTGTTTATATTATTACCACTCTCCAGGAACTCTTCCTTTTCCACTTTAATAGCCTCATTAAGACTGTCCCGAGTCAGGGGATGAGCGGAGGTCTCGGCGCACATCGCCGAACCGTCCATCGCTCCCCAGTCCCTGCGCGGACAGCAGCAGCAGCTCTCAGCCAAAGCCGGTAAACACCACGGAGCACAACGTCCACGAGAGGCCTCCTCCCAGCGTCACGTCGCCAGTTGAGGAAGAGTTTCTGCCAGGAAGGCTTCTTGTTCTGTATGGCTGCTGATGTAGATGCAGAGCAACGACTACGATTTCACATTCAGGTGGGTCAAGCCGGATAACCGCGTCAGGAGCAGCGAAGTGCCAAGAGGTCACCGGAATATTTTTTTACCCTACGGTGTTCCCTCGTTATTCGTGGATATCCGCGAATCGCATCCGTAACGCTACACGACTGCATCGAGAGAAAGTGATGCGAGAATGTGATGAGAGATAAAGTGATGAGCGAGAATGTGATGTGAGAAAGTGATGCGATTATGATCATTATTGCGTATTTAATAGTATACTATTCATTTTTAAAAGATAGGTTTTCGAAGGCCAATATCCGCGAAATTTGATTTTCACGAGCATCTCCGGAACGTATCCCTCGCGAATAACGCATACCTGTCAACCAATACGGTTTACCCGTATTCTTGTACAGGGAAATTGAGTTTTCAGGTTCACACAGCGTAAAGCCGTTACAATATGGGCAAAAAAATGAGTGTGTGCACCCATACATAAAGCAAGCAGCATCAGCATGGAAGATCACAGACAGTAGCACGATAAGTAGCATCATTGACACCAATTATCAAAATTAACACATACAAGTTTTTGTTTAGTAACATAATTTTTGTATATTTCTTTATTTTTCTCCCTTGTGATGGGACTTTGTAGAATGAACGTTGAGATTTCTAAGGGCTCGGGGTGACCAATAAGGTCTGAATTGGTCTGTAATAATGTAGGCGCCGATAAGCGGTTGACAGGTATAATAACGAGGGGAAACACTGCATTACATCCATAATATATTTTTTGGGTTAGATCGCTTAAATATAAATGTGTCGTTAAACCCGCCGCCACCCGACACAGCCAATTAGTAAGGTTTGCCACGTAAACAAAACATGCCAATTGGTTACTAGTGAAACACCGGTGTGTTGCAAGCAAATCCACAACATTTACAATCCGAGTACGTTTCGCCAGTAATTACAACTAGCATCATCAGGTGAATAGCCAGATTTGACTGTCCGCCTGATTATGTCAGTCCGCCTGATACTAGTTGTAATTACTGGCGAAATGTCGTACTCAGATTGTAAATGTTGTGAATTTGCTCTCCAACACACCGGTGTGCTGTGCTAGTGACGAATTGGCCACGTTCTGTTTACGTGACAAACCTTACTAATTGGCTGTTTCGGGTGGTGGCGGGTTTAACGACACATTTATATATGTACGCAATCTAACCCCCCCCCACCCATATTATGGATGATATTGGTCGCGAAAGCCTACGTGTTAAACTGCGTTACATTTAAGCAAACACAGTGCAACATTACATTATCTGACCGTGTGAAACATATCAACCTTAATTAACCGCCCACACAAAGTGCAAGTATTTGTGAATAATTATTCATCAATTATAATTGGTGAATAATGACTCATCAATTATAATTGGTGAATAATGATTAATCAATTATAATTGGTGAATAATGATTAATCAATTATAATTAATGAATATGTATTCAGCAAAACGCAGGCCACGGTGTCCGGGAGGGACCCTGTTTTGTTTACGACCCAGAGGGGGCTGCTGGTCTCCATGGGGCGCCACGTGGTCTTCGAGATGTTGACTACCTCGCCCAGTATACAGGAGGTCGTTGCGTTCGATCACGACCCTGACAACGCCTGCCGCTGCTGTATATTTGCACTTTGTGTCTCTCTCTCACTCCCCGTGGTCGCGTGGATTTGTGTTTCCCCTCCACGTACGTTTAGAATCAACATCAGGCGTTTAGAGAGCATCTCTGGCTTGCTCCCAACATGTCCACACGGCGACCACAATGCCACTTGGTCCAGCTATCATTTGCGGTGGACAGGTCGCTTATATGAAAAACATAAGCTATTGTAGCTCAGTGGGGCCTTACATCTGGTAAAATAAAAACAACAGTTGAGTTTAGGTGACTCTATCTTGGCTGTGTTGTAGCGCAGAAGCAACGATAACAACGCAAAATCAGAGAGAGAGCGAGCACGAGCGAGGATGAATCGCGTAAAGCCACACGGGGACAATGCAATGCCCACTCGATCCGCGAATAAAACGATCCCAAAAAAACAACAACAACCATTGAACACTTTTGACTGTTAAAGATTGATATATATATTAAAAATATATATAACAATTGTGTGCGAGTCCTGTTAAAAGTTAAACCTCACCTCGCTTTTGGGTACCGCTGTGGCAGTGTCCAGGGGACTCCACGTTCGATGGGCTCCGCTTCTGTTGAGTTCGGGTCGGTGGTTTTTTTTTGTTGCGTGGAAACTTTGTCGGATTCTTAAAAGAAGAAGAAGAATAATTAAACAACAACAAATAAACAAACAAAAAATAAAAAATGTAACAAAATAAAAATTAACAAATGTCCAGGACTTTACGAATAATAGGGTCGACAAAACCCTCCCTTGTCCACCTCTTTCTCTCTCGCGCGAGATTCGTCACTTTAGGGTCCGCGAACAACTCCGTGTTGCGGTGGGGTGGGGTTTGGGATTTAAAAGCCTCGCCAAAGATTTCTGCCAAAAGCTGTGAAGCTGCGGGATTCGTTCAAGGGCAGGGATCGCGCCTGGGATGGGTGACCCCCATCCATGCACCTCGGGTTGCTCCACAAAACCCTCCCTTGTCCACCTCTTTCTCTCTCGCGCGAGATTCGTCACTTTAGGGTCCGCGAACAACTCCGTGTTGCGGTGGGGTTTGGGATTTAAAAGCCTCGCCAAAGATTTCTGCCAAAAGCTGTGAAGCTGCGGGATTCGTTCAAGGGCAGGGATCGCGCCTGGGATGGGTGACCCCCATCCATGCACCTCGGGTTGCTCCAGGGCTGCTGCTGTTTGGACATGTTTGTTTGTTGTAGTACCGAGTTAGGCTGATGGCTTTAATCGAAGTTGTCTTGTGGTTTGTTGTTGTTGTTTGATTTGCATCCCACTGGGATTATTTGCACACAGCGTTGGTGTACGGTGCTTTTTCTGCAATATTTTTTGCTGTTTTTTTCCTGGATTTTTCTGTTTGCGCATAGTCACTTTAAGATGTTTTCTTGTTCATGTTTTTGTTTTTAGTTTGTTGCGGTTGCACCCGATTCAAGAGCCGAATGGCTCACAGGGCTATACCAAAATAAATTAAACTGAAACGTGGTGGGCAGCAGTAGTGGTGGCTAGGAGATGTTGGCTACCTCGTCTGGTGTGCAGGAGGTCGTGGGGTCGATCCAGACCCGGACGATGCCTGCTGTGTATTTGGACTTTGCATGCGCATTGTGGCTAGGAGATGTTAACTACCTCGCCTAGTATGAAGGAGTGGTGAGTTCGATCCTGATCCTGACGATGCCTGCTGCTGCTGTATATTTGGACTTTGCGGTGTCTCTTTCTATCCCAGTGGTCGCGTGGATTTTTCTCAACGTTCATCCTAAAAAGTCCCATCACAAGGGAGAAACACAAATACAAATGTCCCGTATTGAAACGGCTGTACGCCGTATGAACGTAAAAACTACATTTCCCCTGTAAAAGAATACTGGTAAACCGTATGGGTTGACGGTTATGGGGCCGTCCATACATGACGTCACACAGCTAGGGGGGGGGGGGGTCAGATATTTGTGATGTGTGACGAGAGGGGGGGTGAGAAATGTGACGTCACATCAAAATGTGCAACTTGAAATAAATATAGACAACACTTTCTACTTACTTAAATAGACTTTTTAATAATTTTTTCTCCTGCAACATCAGTGCAGCGGCACATTTAATACGCACTACAATGACTAGTTTAAAGCGATTTGAAGCATGTTTTATGGTTTTGACGTCATATTTGAGGGGGGTCTGACTTTTTGTGACGCCGTGTGACGAGGGGGGGTCAAAAATCGTCCAAAATCGCGTGACGTCATTTATGGACGGCCCCTATGGTATCATGTAGTGTATAGTGTATCGTAGTGTAGCGTATCATAATGTAGTGCATAGTGTAGTGTATAGTGTAGTGCATAGCATACCTGTCAATCCCTTATCAGTGCCTACCTTATTATAAACCTCGATGCAGAAGCAAATCCTCGTGGTCGCCGTGGTTATGACACGCGGTGGGGGGGGGGGGGAATCTCACAGGGGGCCTCGCTTTTTAAAAATGTTTTAATTGAAAATGTTTTCATTGAAAATAATAATTATGATCACCACAACAACCGCTTTAGGAAAGCAACGCTTGTGCCTCGAAACTGTTTCCTGCGCCCCCCCCCCCCCCGGGTTATCCAATTCCCACGCATCGCCAAAGCAATTTGGAATACCCGGTGCACTTTTAAGTTATCAACACGAATAACTCATTTCTTGAGAATTGCTTTTTTGTCTTCGGTTTCTTGTCACCCCCGCTCCCCGCACCTCCGATTAGCACGGTTTGCTACGGATGGTGCGAGAGAAGTTCAACATGGTACATACAAAACATACAATGCAACTGGTCTTGGCCAAAGCATCCCATTACAGCCTTCAACTCTTCTCATCCATACGCTTTGGGTCTTTCTTCTTATCCACTATACAGCAATACACATTGGCCCTCGCTATGTGCTATGAAGGGCCATTTCCCGAAACGTCGCCTTGTTACTGTGTGTATATATGTATCTTCTTTTCAGTGGGGAGCAATAGTGTAACCAGCAATCCAGGTTCGATTCCCTCGGACCTGGGCCTCCTCCCTAGGTCGACTCAGCCTCAAATGAGCACTTAATGCGGTGTGTAGCAAACATCGCCACTGGGGGAGACAAAGGCGGCCGGGCGTGGTTGCTGGCCACCCAATCCCGACACGGCCAATTAGTAAGGGGTTTGTCACATAAACAGAACACGCCAATTCGTTGCTAGTACAGCACTAACCGGTTGTGTGTGGTGGAGAGTAAAACCCGCAACAACATTTACAGGCTTTCAATTGTCCATAATATAGGGTTTTTTTTTGGGTGAGATCGCATAAATATAAATGTGTCGTTAAACCAATCTGGCTGTCCGACTGATGATGCTCGTTGTAATTACCAGCGAAACGTCATACTCGGATTGTAAATGTTGTGGATTTGCTCTCCATCACACCGAGTACTCAGATTGTAAATGTTGTGGGTTTACACTCCAACACACAACTGGTGTGCTCTACTAGTAACGAATTGACCACGTTCTGTTTATGTGACAAACCCTTAACTAATTGGCCAGTTTTGACTATCCAGCATGATGATGGTTGTCCGCCTGATGAAGCTAGTTGTAATTACTGGCGAAATGTCGTACACAAGATTGTAAATGTTGTGGATTTGCTCTCCAACACATCAGTGTGCTGTATGAGTAACGAATTGGCCACGTTCTGTTTACGTGACAAACCTTACTAATTGGCTGTCGGGTGGTGGCGGGTTTAACGACACATTTATATTTCCTGATGATGCGAGTTGTAATTACTGGCGAAACGTCATACTCGAATTGTAGTTGTTGTGAGTTTTACTCTCCGACACACAACCGGTGCTGCTATACTAGTGTAGTGAGCGGCTTCCGAGACACGTCGAACGGAAGGCTTCTTATTTATTAAGAGCACACTGGGCGATACATTGTGTAATGCAGCGACACAATAGGCGATCCTAACACATAGCCCCATCTCCGGCGTCGCTATGTAAGCTGTTTGACCAGCGCAGCGACGGAAGATCAGCCACATGGTCAGAGACGAAGACGTGACGACGAGCAGCGATGCAGCCAGGACCCAGGATCCGTAACAGCCACGAACCTCTGGTCGGTCCCCCTTATATCTGTCCCAGCGCGGACAAGCTCCACCTCTTGCCACGCCCCCTTTCGAGAACCTTCGAGCTGATTCCCGGAGCTTCTCGAATGACTCCGCCTTTTACCTTTACCCCAGATACGCCCCCCCTTTAGAATAAGGCATTTTGTAATGCAGATATGACCGTAATTACCACTCCCGGCCGACAGGTGTGCACTCTTGATTTGAAGCTTTCGTGACTGCAGGAATCCATACTCTTTGGTTTCGTATAGGTGTCACCCTGTCATAATAGTGTAGAGTAGCAGTTAGTGACGTCATGTCACGCTCGCCCTCCAGTATGATGACGTCACGTATGGTGACATCATGTCCCCCTGGGATATTTAGTTTGGGACCCGTGACGTGTTCGAGGTCGTTGCGAGGAGCCAGGAACGTGTGAAGTTGGGAGTTGGGACCCAGGGTAGGGGGAAATTAGCACCAGGCTAGGGTAGCCTGTGGGTGTGCTAGGGACCTCCCCAGCACCCTTCCCCCGGGGCAGCGATGGGACCCAGGGTAAGGGGAAATTGGCACCAGGCTAGGGTAGCCTGTGGGTGTGCTAGGGACCTCCCCAGCACCCTTCCCCTGGGGGAGCGATGGGACCCAGGGTAGGGGGAAATTAGCACCAGGCTAGGGTAGCCTGTGGGTGTGCTAGGGACCTCCCCAGCACCCTTCCCCCGGGGCAGCGATGGGACCCAGGGTAAGGGGAAATTGGCACCAGGCCAGGGTAGCCTGTGGGTGTGTTAGTGACCTCCCCCAGTACCCTTCCCCTGGGCTGTGGAGTGTAAGCAGTGAGTGGGCAGTACACGGAGTCGTGTGCGAAGAGAAATCTTTAATAAAAAAAACAACTGGCGCAAGCCCCTACATGAAGATCTGCCTCCGAGTCATCATTTACGCCCCAACAACACTAACGAATTGGCCACGTTCTGTTCACGTGACAAACCCCCTTTACTATCTGGCCGTGTCGGGTGGCGTCGTCTTTATTTACGAGATATAAACCAAACAAAAAAAAAACCTCATGAATTCGTGAAGAAGGGGTGGTGGTGGGGGCGGGAGAGAGGCTTTGTCACGTAAACAGAACGCGCCAATTCGTTGCCAAAGTACAGCGCTACATTTATTTATTTAAAACTAATTCAGCATTTTACACCGCGCTTGCAAATTTGCTTCAACGAAGTTTTTTTCAAATCGCCGCGGTCCCTCCCCCCTGACTGCAGCGCGTTGCGGAAACACACGTGCTCGTCAGCACCCCCCCCACGCCGCTCGCGTTTAATTCCGGGGAAAGAGAGAGAGAGGGGGGTTAAAACAAAACAAAAAAACACACAAAGAGTTTGTCGTCGCGATTACAGTAAGTCTTCTTGAGGCGACTTGCGCTTTGAAAGTTTTAATGTTTAAAAAAAAAAATTGGGGGGGGGGGGAAACGCTCGTACCCCTGTGCACTTGTGCGCCGCGTGTGTGTTTGGTTTTCCGCAGTTGTTTCTCTTGTGTGCCAAGACAGTTGTTTGCCTGACTATAAAGTAAAGTCCACGCGAGTCGTCGGTGCGGTAAGGTGAAACTACGTTATTGTTCCATAGGAAGCTTTACCGCCACTCTCAACAACCTCCCACCCCGTTTCCTTCCTCCATACTAAAATATTCCGTCTGGTTCATCCGCATCTCATCATGGGCACCGCGGTGGCTATGAGACGTTAAATGCCTCGTCTGGTTTACAGGAGATTCGTGGGTTCGATACCGACCCTGACGCCTGCTGCTGCTGTATATTTGGAGTGTGCGTGTCTCTCCATCATCATCACGGTGGCTAAGAGATGTTAAATCCCTCGCCTGGTACACGGGAGGTTGTGGGTTCGATCCCGACCCTGAAGCCTGCTGCTGCTGTATATTTGGAGTTTGCGTGTCTCTCTCATCATCATCAAGTTGGCTAGGAGATGTAAACAACCTCGCCTGGTACACAGGAGGTTGTTGGTTCGATACCGACCCTGACGCCTGCTGCTGCTGCTGTATATTTGGAGTTTGCGTGTCTCTCTCATCATCATCACGGTGGCTAAGAGATGTTAAATCCCTCGTCTGGTACACAGGAGGTTGTGGGTTCGATCCCGACCCTGACGCCTGCTGCTGCTGCTGTATATTTGGAGTTTGCGTGTCTCTCTCTCTCCCCTTGGCCGCGTGGATTTTGTTCTCTGGGTCCTCCGTGGTTTCCCCTCCACATCGACAAACATACCTTTGAGTCTATTTGGCTACCGCTATTAATGTCCATAAGCCAACTCGTTGAGCAATAATTTGTGATGGCCAGGTCGCTTCTGACACAAGAGCTTTATCGCTTAGTGGGCCTTACCTGGTAAAAAAAAACCAAAAATGTGTGTATACTCTTTGGTTCTTTCGGTAAAGTCACGTAAGTATAAAAGAAAATAAACCACGACGTTTCGGGCGCAGCAAAAGCGTACCATCATCAGGCGATGATGATGGACGCTTGTGTATTTTCTACCTACGTGACTTTACCGAAAGAACCAAAGAGTATGGATTCCTGCAGCAGTCACGAAAGCTTCAAATCAAGATTAAAATGTGTATATAGTTTCGTTTATCGACGCCTTTCCTGTTCTGCCACCCCGAACCACTCCTCTACCACGTCCTCCTGCTTTCCCGCTGTTTATTCCAATTGAACCCTGCCAGGCCATCCTTACTTAGCGTGACCCTTAAACGTGCGTGACCCTTAAGGGATATATTCGTGTTGTCGCTTGAAGCGCTCCAATTTTTTTGGGGGGGGGGAGGGGAATTCAACATTAGCGAGGAGCGGTGGTGCAGTTGTTACCGCCCTGTGCGAGAGAAAAATACACGATTGCGTTCATTGCAACCGGTGAAGCAGTATCGGAGTTTGTCGCTGTGCATCCAGAGAGGGCATTCATTCAACAATAAATTATGAATGGCAACATTTATTTTATTATTTTCAAATGGCGGTGGGTGGAGCGGTGGTTGCGGTGGTTTAGCACGCTGCTCTATGAAGCCATTGACCCGAGTTCGATTACCAGCTAACAATCAGTCGCAAGTGATAGCTGTACCGGTCATGCCGTTCCATCCTTCAATTTGCGCTGACTACTAGTGTGTGGTAAATTATGGTAAAAGAAAAAAAATACCATGACTGATGCTGTGTGTTGAGAATGGCTGGCTTTAACAGACTTGTGGGGAAAGTGTTGTTAGCAAGCACCTATGAAGGAATGGCACGACACGCGAGGGGGTGGGTGGCCAGCACCACGTACCATGGTACTTGCTCGAGGCCGAGTCGACCTAGGGGTGGCCCAGGACCAGTTCAGATAATCGTCACTGGTGTTGGTGGCCCGTGAGCGGGAATCGAACTCGGGTCGCCGGGTCCGTAGCGCAGCGCGCCAACCGTTGCGCCACCGTGCATGGCATAGATTCACTCTGACGCTCAATGCTGAGCTTAAGCTCAGGATACGGTCTGCAGCTGACAGCCTGAAGTTGTATTGAGCGGGCCACTTCAAGGTGCGATCAACCACAAGGCGTGTTCCCTCCTTAAGTTGAGTGGGATAATATAAGAGTGATAAGCGCACTGTACTATGAACGATACAGCAACATTACGGTCATTCCAGTGGGAGCAGTCGTGCAGTGTTTAGCTCTGACGTTTGTCCTAAGGCGTCTTCATCTAGAAACGTGCGTTTAGATGATTTTGCTGCAAAAAATTTCCACGTGATATTTGTGGCCAGGTCGCTTCTGAAAAATAAGCGAATAGCTCAGTGAGCTTTAACAATGCAGACATGAATCCTTGTTAAAAGGTTTCAGTTTTGTTGCCAGAAAAAAGGGGAAAACCCTATTATTACATTTTGGTACTGGCAAAGGAGGTCTAATGATCGTTTAGTTTTATTTTAATATTCTTTGAAGTAATTTGTTTTCCTTTGCTATACCTTGCACACCTATCGTGTTTATGCATTGTTTGTTGTAACGTTCTGACATGCCCTTACTGGACATCTCTGAAAAAAAGAGCTTTATAGCTCATTGGTTTTCTCCAGTATAAATAAATGTCCTGATTTAAACTAAAACGGTTCAGTGCACCTGCTGGAGGTGAACCTGTTGGCACAAAAGCATAGAAGATCCAACCTCAATGAAGATGGGGCAGGGGAGGAAGCCATATGGTATGATTTAAATAGCCCGCATTGACCACAATAGTGGATGTGACATCAGGGATGTCCAACCGAGCTTAAAGGAAAAGCCAATCAAAATAAATTCTGGAGCAGCCGACCCCATGCAATAATAAAAACAACACATTGAACAATAAGACTGCCCTACAAAGAAACTATATAAGCATAACTAATGTACTTCACAGCACATTTCACGAAGGTTATTGCTCAAATCGTCACCTTTTACTAAATATTTTTCTTTTAGGGCAGTGTTATTGCCGAAAGTGTTATTTGTGTTTATGCACCACTGTGAACATAGCATAAAACACCCTTTCAATAATGGGACTTCAGGCTTAAAATAAGAATATGTATGAATTATAAAATTATGGTATTCACATTGCAAATACATTCTAGAAGAAATTTAAGCTTTAGAGCTATAAAACATGTTTCTTACCTAAGATGCAAAGGATATTTAGGGCTATGGCCAACAAAGGTCTTGTTTACCCCATCAGGATGGCGTGCGTAGTGGCCACCCCGTTGCTGGAGCCGAGCGGGGACTTCCCGGCGTGGCTGGAGGCGCAGGGCGTGAACGCGGAAGTGGCCCGGGCCATGGACTCGGAGCTGGGCATCCGGGACTACGGGGTCCTGCGCGCCTGCGTCGGGGACGGCCTCGTGCGGGCCGAGCTGCTGGCCACGGCACGCGACCGCCTGCCCTTCGGCTTCTACGCCGTGCTGCGGCAGGTGGTGAAAGCCCTGCAGGGCGCCGAGCACCAAGATGCTGGGACACCGCACTGGGACGACGCCGCAACCGCCTCCAACCCGGGCGACATGACGCTGGGAGGCCTGGTGGACGTGCTGCTCGCTCTGTTCAGCGGCTTGAGCCGCGAGTTGCTGTTGTCCGCACAGAAGCTGGGAGACATGGACAAAAATGGAACATGCGCTGTTGGTTCCCCTTCAGCCGCCGGGGCTGAAACACCTTTAGACAATGAGATTCATGAAATGAATGATTACGCAGTAAATGGTAAGATGCTTTCCATTGACGAAGCTCCTAAGTTGTACAAACTTTAAAATACATGATCGTTAATTATTGCACTTCCAATGTTTATTCATATTTTTTTTGCATGATACTGCAACATCTTAGTGCTAAATGGACAAATATTTAGAGAAATGTGACCTCTGCTGGTTGAAAGACACTAGACTAAGCAACCCTTTAAATCTAAAGTATTCCAGTATTTGATTGAGAATTTTGCCTTGACGGAGTGTTTGTGGTTTTGACCAGATGAGGGTGGAGAGAACTCATCTCCAGACAAGGACGACATGGAGCCCCACCATACATTTTTTCCAGTAAAATCAGAGGTTGATAAAGGTAACAACAATTCCATTTATAATGTGTAAACCTGCCGAAAATGCTCTATGGTCTACACGATTATTACACAAGCTTGGAAACAATTACCAACTGACACACTGCATGCCTTAGGTTGTAATAATAATTCCAACTTGCAGTGCGCACAGTTTCTCCTTGTCGATGAGAGACGACCCCGAGGTGCAAGCAACCACAAAAACACAGAAAGGCAGCCAGCTGGTGAGCTGTTGCCAACAATTGCCCAGGCTGTGTGGTCTATATATGAAGATGTTATCAACCATTTCATGAGAGTGAATGTGGAATGAAAACCAGAGCACCCAGATAAAAACCGACACTTGTGAGGGGACAACACTCTATCCCATACCGATGGAGCGGATGGATTCCACGTATACTTCTGGCAAGACAGGGCATGGCACCTCGACATCCATGGGAAGGGAGTTTGATAAACATGTATGTGATCCACCAACCCTTGCCTCTGCAGTGCTGGATTACAGGCGTGAGCCGCCACCAATGCTGAAACTGCATCCTCAAGATAGAGTTAATGTATGCTGTTGCCAAATTTACGACGTGTAATTGTGATGCTAAACTGTTCGTGAGCCTCTATTTGTGCTTTGGCGTCGGATTTAATAAGTTAAAATTGTGTAAAGTTGGTTTCATTGTTGTTTTCTGTGTAGGTAGAGACGACAGCGAAGGTCACTCAGGATTCATCATCGAAGATGCATTCTTGTGTAAAGAGGTGGGATTGGACGTCATGAACGTTGTGAAAGTTTCACAGATTGAGGAGCAGACGGAGAGCCACACTGAAGTTGAAGACAAGAGCACCGTGCATGTGACCAGATTTATCAAGGCAACAGAGCACATTCCTGAGAGAGTGGGGGCTCCGAGCATCAATGACCGTCTACCAAATGATGGGCAAAACATTTTTGAAGACAACACACCATTAGAGCAACAGCAGCCTTTAAGTAAAACCACAAGCCCTCCCGTTTTTCTAACAGCAAACGTTAACAGCGGCACGGAGAAGAAGCCTTACCAGTGCTCCGTGTGCAAAAAGAGCTTCACGTGGAACTCGCACCTGGTTGAACATCAACGCATACACACGGGTGAGAAACCGTACCGCTGCAAGACGTGTGACCAGTCCTTCGTGCAGTCGTGCCACTTGAAGACGCACATGCGGACGCACACTGGCGAGAAGCCCTACCTGTGCACAACGTGCACCCGCAGCTTCTCACGTAGCCACCACTTGAAGGCGCACCAGCGCATGCACACGGGCCAGAGGCCGTTCCAGTGCAAGATTTGCAATCATAGTTTTTCACGGACGGGAATGCTGAAGGCACACGAGCGCTCGCACACGGGCGAGAGGCCCTACCGGTGCAAGATGTGTGACAGCAGCTTCTTGCGTAGCCACCACTTGCAGGTGCACGAGCGCACCCACACGGGCTTCCGGCCGTACCAGTGCAAGGTGTGCGCCAGCAGTTTCATGCGTAGTCATCACTTGAAAGTTCACGAGCGCATGCACGTCGGAAATGACTCGCAGCAGTGAGGTGTGTGTATATATGTGTGTGTGCTCGTGTCTTGATGCTTTGTGTTTACGTCTGCCCCCCGACGGTTAGGAATTACCACAAGGAGTTTGAGGCCAATGCTGTGAGCTGATGGACAAACCCTCTTTGGCCGCATTTTAGGAATAGGCAGGCTACAGCTTTCATATTATAATAATATAATATAATTGTTTTTTACCCTTTTATCTGGCAATAAAACTGACCTATTTTACAAGGAGTCATGTTTGCATTGACCACAATACCTGCGGTCGGAATGCAAACAAAAAACATAACTCTGATAATGTATGCACTGTCCTTGAAAAAAAAAGGTGTTAGTTTTGTTGCCAGATAAAAGGGTAAAAAAACAATTATATATTGCTACTGGCAAAGGAGGTTCCAATGGAGCTTTCATATTCTTTGGGTCTTTACCGAAAGACCCAAAGTATATGAATTCCTGCAGTCATGAAAGCTTTAAGTCAAGATTTTACAGCTTTCATTTGAACAAGATTGAGGAGTGGCTTGATCGGACGAAGAGTAAATAAAAAAGGAGTGATCCCAACCAACTAATTTCAGAAGGAAACCAGGACCCTCAGTTATGGCCAACAGCCTCCAGTTCTCCAACAGCGTTTGTTGCTGATGGCCTCTGAATGTTCTCATTGTAAGCAACCATTGGCTCAACACTTGACAAGAGGGTTACAGCCCTTCATTGTCAAGACACTATCACATGTGAAGAACTGCACAATCCATAATAATACTACAGGAGAAGTATCGTTACAGGAGCCTTATTGGTGAGCTGTGATGTGTGTCTGTTCACTAAAATCCCTGTCCAGGTGTTAGATAACTCGTGCTAAGAGGACTACCCAATAACTATCCTGTGCTCGCAGAGTTATCCTTTAAAGTCTAAATATTTCATGTGGGATTGAGTGCTTTACGAACAATAAGAGATTACTGCCACGGGAGTCCTCGATTTCCCCAGTGGTAGCCAATCTATTTCACTTCGGCATGCTTAAGTTCCTGCCCTCTAGTAAGGACAAGCTGCCTGCACCGCAGGCAGAGGGTGTGTATCGACAGATTCAAAAACTATGTGGGACAAACTTGCAGATGCAAACATGTCGTATCAAGGAACACCAGGTTTGCGTTCAATCAGCCAATGTGGAATATGGCTGGTTGGGTCTAACACAACGTACTGTCTAACAGTGCCGAGGCCCTATCAATAACAACACTTGCTCTTGTCTCATAATATAATCCATTGGAATTGAAAATATGCCATAACATTTAAATCAGGAAGATAGAAGCCGAGTTTAACTCTAAAGCAGCTATTCCATTCCAGACCTTTCCAGATGCGCAACTGCACGTGCCCGGATAGGTCCAGCCAGGCCCAGGACAACCAATTATAAATGTGGGTGGTGACCATCCAGTTTCTATGCAATCATAGTCCTGGGAGCCAACAGGATAACCAGGACAAAAACACATAACATAATAGTGGACATAAAGGGGCCCGTGAGTACAGACAACAATTTTGCTTGGCCTCCAAAAATGTGCATCGTGCATAAAACCCAGAGTATCTGTGCGAGTCCCAGCCAGTTCGCAAAGATGGACGTGTGTCAGTGGTTGCTGTGAATTTCGTCACCACTCCCGACACACCAGCCAATCGGCAGCCAGGAAAACAATTTTGATGTCGCATGGCTAGCGTTGCATTAAGTCCCTGTGCAACGAAAGCACGAGTGAATATTATTAAGAAACTTGCAGGAATAGCCACGGGAAGCGTTGCCAGCACGTTGAAGATATCGACGCAGGCCCTTGTTCACAGAAGAAGAATGGCCACCATGAGGCCATCGTGTCCATTCAGCCGGGTATATGTCAGTTGTGTATTTTTTTAAGTAACGTGTGATTTTGTACCCAGTTATTTGTGCAAGTGTATGAATGCGTGTATGTAATTCCTGATGTATGTTCCTTTTTGTGGGAACGTCCATTTGCGTGTGTGTGAGAAAGTGTTTTTTTACACTTATTGAACTTGCCTGTGTATATGATGTGCTGTGTCAGCCTTAATAGGTGCTCGCTAACATGTTAAAATGCTATATGAGAAAACACTTTAAGACGCGGTGGAGAAAATTTGATGACAGCACTGCAAGGCGCCTATGCAGTGGGAAACGCCAGCCGGAGGTGGGAAAAGGTGGTCCTAACCTCGAAGACCACGCATGGTTCTGCAAAAGCTTACACAAGTTAAATTAACAATAGCTGTGGAGTTACGCTTGCACGGTGGTGGTGGCGGTGAACAGTGTATTTTACTGATTATTAATATTTGAACGTTACAAATTCAACACAATGACATTTTTAAACAATGGAACTTTAAATAAAGGCATTTTATCTCCGAACCTTGATTGTGTGACACTTGAATGGCTGATTGTTTTGGAATGACACAAGTACTTTTGTTGTCACCAAACACTGACAACGTTCATTGCAATTTTCACACATTGAAACACTTTTATAAATATTTTGTCTTCCTCTTCTTTGGTTCTTTCGGTAAAGTCACGTAGAATGAGAATAAAATAATAAATTGATAAAATAAAATAACACAATAATATTCTCACGACGTTTCGGCCACAACACAAGCGGCCATCAGGTGAAGGGAGCGAGACTGTCTGGTAGGACAGCGCTGGAGTGAGAGAGCCACGTTCAGAGCACGGCTTTTAAGCTGTGTGAGAGGAACAAAGAGCCTTGACGAAGGAATTAGCATAAAATTTAGCATTGAAAAGGCTGAATGATTAGCTTGTGACTGGTCACAGAAATAGCTATGTTAAAAGTTAAAGCATACACATCCGCAGAGGCACCCATTGTTAAAAGGAATTAGCATAGAATTTAGCATTGAAATAGCTAAATTAAGGCATTCGCTTGTAACTGCTACAGAAATAGTTACGTTGAAGTCAGAGCATACACATTCACCGAGGCACTTAGTACAAATCAAAACAGGAGAATTTAGCATTGAAATAACTAGGCGAATTTAGCATTGAAATAACTGGGTGATTTGCTGGTGACTGGTCACAGAAATGACTACACATCTGAGCTATTCACAGTACTATATAGTGAACCAATAAAAACTAAAATATAAATTACCTTCATATTATCAATAAACTCTATATTCTCCAATCAGCTAAGCTACCAACCATAAGTCGTTATATATCACAATGCTATATGGCGAAAAAATGGGTGGATTCTTACCCTCAAATTTCCGTACCACGGATAGCTACGGGCCCCGTTCAGACGGACGAGTTCGTCCATGGTCGGAACAGAGGAGGGGGAGAGAGACAGCTGCGAAGCCCTAGTATACTCCATGTTGTAAACCATACCATTAACCGTGGTGTGAGAGGTATTAAGAGGCAATGCTGGCAAAAGAGCTGCGGTCTGAAGGTCATCGTAAAATTACAATTAATTAAGAACAGAAATGATTTAACACATCTTTCCAGTGGTTACTAAGCCTGAATCCATCTTCTCAGTTGAAATTGTCTCTGTGCTTGTATATGTGAATGGCCTCATGAACGAATCTCTCATGGTAGCCAGTTGGTTTGCAAAGAACCTCCGTCTTGGAGAAGTCAATGTCATGTGAGCCCACTGAATTGTAACAGTGATCTGCCACGGCCGAGGAGTTCGTCTTACCGTGTTTCAAGTCTGCTTTATGTTCGCGGATGCGGTCCGAGATATGTCTTTTGGTTTCTCCAATGTAGCTACTACCACAGAGGCACTTTAGTTTGTAAACGCCTTGGTACTGTATGTCTGGAAGAGCATCTTTTACAGATGGAACTAAATCACGGATTTTGTGTACTGTGTTGAATCGGACCTGGATCTTGTGTTTATTCAGGATTTTGGAGATCTTTTTAGTGACCCCTGCAATGTAGGGTAAGGTGATGGTTTTGAGTGGCTCCACAAGAGGATCCTTCTTCATGACTGGAGTGATGGCTTTGCGGATTGTGTAGTCGGAGTAGCCATTAGCCCTGAGAGCCTGGTGTACGTGCTTGAGTTCACTGGTAATGTGTTCCTGGTCGGAAATGCATTGGGCTCTATGGTATAGAGTCTTGATGAGGCAGTTCTTCTGGGATGGATGGTGGTGGGAATCCGGTTTCAAGTAAGCATCTGTATGGGTAGCTTTCCTGTAGACAGAGTGGCTCATTGAACCATCATGTCTCATTTTAATTAAGACATCCAGAAAGGGTAGTTTGCCATCTTTTTCGACCTCCATGGTAAATCTGATGGCTGGGTGTATGGAATTGATGTGGTCGCGGAATTGGTCTAGAGCAGGCTGGCCATGTGGCCAGATGACAAAGGTGTCATCAACGTACCTCTTCCATAAGGTCGGGCGTAGAGTGGCAGTCTGGATGGCGTCAGTTTCAAATTTTTCCATGAATACGTTGGCTACAACCGGAGATAGGGGGGAGCCCATTGGGGTGCCCTCAGTTTGTTTGTAGAAAGTTCCATTCCAGGTGAAGTATGTGTTGGTTAAGCAATGTCTCACCAGGGGGGGTACATCAGTATGCAGTCCTTGATGAACCAGGTCTTCAATGATAGCGATGGTGTCAGGTACCGGGACTTTGGTGAACAAGGACACCACATCAAAACTGACAAGCAGGTCGTTTGGGGACAGGGAAATGTCTTTGATTGTCGATACCAGGTGAGTAGAATTTAGTACCGCAGAGGTGGTTTTTCCAGTGAAAGGTCGCAGTATATCAGCCAGAAAACGTGCCAGTCTGTAGGTGGGGGAGCTGATAGTAGAGACGATGGGACGAAGGGGTGTATCTTCTTTGTGTATCTTTGGAAGGCCATATAATCTTGGTGGTCTGGCAGCAGAGGGTTTCAACAAGAACTGTTTGTTCTCATCAATTAATGCTGTTGAATCAGAGATAATTTTGTTCGTTTTGGTGACCAGGCTGTTGGTGGGATCTCTTTTTATTTTTGTATAGCTGCCATCGTTGAGTAGTTCTTGAATTTTGTTGTTATATTCTGTTTTGTCCATGATGACAGTGGCATTGCCTTTGTCGGCTGAGAGAACGACAATATCATCCCTCTTTTTTAATTGAGATAATTCAAAACGTTCGTCTTTGCTGATGTTGCTAGGTGGCAACTTAGCGTTTTTGAGGGTTGCAGCGATTTCAGATCTTGCTACGTCTGCAGAGATGTGACTCAAGCCCTTGAGTGCAACGTCGACATGGGCAATGATATCATTAACCGGTAAGTGTCTCGGTGTGACAGCAAAGTTTAGACCTTTAGCTAAAA